GCGCTTCCTCGGTCGGGCGTTATGACCCTTATGGCGGACGGTCGAAAAACGTCATGTCATAAAATTTAGTTATATTATAGATCAAAACAATGTCAGTTCCTTAAGAGAACGCTATGAATCATCAGATTTGTTAAAATTAATATAATAAAATAAATAAATAAATAAATATTTATTATTAACAATAAAGTCAGTTTATCTACTAATTCTTTTTATTACTACGACTATATTATTATATATGTATTTTGAAATTATGACTAGTGCAAATATTGATTTATATATATATATATATATACATATATATATTGCGACCGCACTCACGAGCGTGGTGCAACTTCGTCGCTCGTCCGACGAATTCGATTCCGCGAAAACGGTAAAACTGAGCCTAACACGCGATTAATCGTTACTCAGGCGTCTCGCCTATCGAAAATGGAAACAAGAATTGGGCGCCAGGCCAATTCTTTGTTATAGAGGGTGCCGCTCTCATCGGAAATTTCGTTGGTCGGAAATACAATGACTCGGAAAAAAACCTATAATCACGCAATTAGGCGCGGATTCGGTACAACGATCGGACAAGGACGGCGATAACCGGCCTCTCAGCTACGGTAATGGTAGAGGGGGTGGCTCGAGGGAAAACGGTCAAGATTCGGGGAGCGAGAATAGGCTGAAAAAAGTAGCAATGATTATTAACAATGAAAATAACAAGTATATTTAGCAAACAAGTATTACAGTTGAAAATACGAATAATACACGACAAGAGACGGGAACACTCGATACGCGAAGCAATGCCGCTTGCACAAGATTGACGGAGACTCGTAATTCGCGTACTTTACGATCGTGTTGCGGGATCGTATCTCGGGAAAACGGGAAATCGAGATCTACTTCTCTTCGGTGGTACGACTCGCCAATTACATGCCCCTCGCATCCGCGTGACATGCGAAATCGGAAATCATGCAGTGCGGGCGTGATATTCGCTAGTACGCCGGCGCGGAGCGCTTGGCGTACGCGGACGAGCGTGATCGACGCAAGCTGAATCGATAATATGGGACGGATACGTCCCGCGGGATCCCGTGATTCCGGAAATCCTCTCGAATTTCGTTCCGGCGGCGTAAGGCTTCGACGGAAACGCAAATTATCACACACGCACAAAGACGGAAACAATACACTACAATGATTGGCTTGGCTGAGGCGCTCGGCGGGCGCGTAGCGCGACGGTCCTGCAAAAATCTCGATACGCGAGGTCAGACGGGGCGCCGAAACCTATGGAATCTTTATCGGCTACAGCCGAGTCACAAAACGAAAACAATAGCTAGTAACGCGTGTTCCTTACGGCCCGTCTGACACAAGAAAAATCGGCGGCTTTACAAAAGTGCGCTTGTCTCATCGGGAACTCCTCATCACGGGAACGGCAGCTCGCTTATCCTTCAGCAGAATTTCCTTCTCGCACGATCTTATCGCTCGTCCTGCGTCCTTCCAATCGAACAACCACAGCACAAGTGCCGGGTGCCGCTGCTTCCGTGATCTCGCCGGGCCGGTGGGCCCACGTGGTACATCCTTCCGCGCCCCTAATTGGCGGGCGTGTGAGCTCGCGACCTCCGCGAATCGCGTGAGGTGCGTAGCGCCGCGGGTCCTGTGTCCCCGCGCGCGGCATTTAAATTATCGGCGACGTCCTTCCGTCGGCGGTGCCTCCAGGTGCGCTCCCGTGTTGGCACGCTCAGGTGGCTAGTCCTACGGGACTCATTCTCATGAGGAGCCGTTCCTGGCGGCAGTTCTCATCCTTGGGGCGCCCTGTCGCTTTTCCGACTGCGGGGTCTCTCGCCCGATCTGGGGCGTAGAGTGGCCATCCCTTTTATCCTCGCCTTAGCTGGCTCGCACCGGAATCTGGAAGAAAGCTCAGCGGTTTAATTGTTCTTAAATTAAGGAAAGAAACGCGGACTAAGATACGATCTGTGTATGCTGTTTCCTCGGTGGTGTCCTCTCCGCCCTCGTGGTCCTCTTTTTGTGGTCACTGCGGCGTCGGTGAGATGGGGAAAATCCTACAATTTCTCAGGGAGCCGCCGATACGATATAATAAACAATCGAGATCGCTACGGAAACTAAGAATAATTATAAACGGTATTCGGTATTCGGGCGGCGGGAGCCACGCAAATGTGGTCCCGCGGCCCGCGCCACGCGTCCGCCTCCGAAAATCGGGAGGACGCAGGACTCAAAACTACCGCCCGCGGTCGGGTCCGTAGATCCCTTGTGACGGACAGTTTAAAAAGGTACGTTCCGTCACTATATATATATATATATAAAATCACATTCTATTTCATCTCAAATATATATTATTATTACTATTTGTTTAGGATGGCAATTAATACAAGTATGTTCGAGATTGACCATAATCACGGCATACGCGCGTGATGCCAAACCCGAGCGCGGGCGGCAACAGTCGCGCTCAGCGCCCGCCGCCGTCACCAGCGCCCAATCACGGGCTGCTTTTCCTCGAGCGGCGCGAAACGGCGCGAGCAAAACATGTTTTTTACAAATGCGAGCGATGACAAATCATGCTCTTCTACAAGGCTCCGACAATTATCACCTTATAAGGCAATCCTGCTCGTTGTTTGACAAAAGGAAAGGGGGGAGCCTTCTAGAGGGGCATGTGCCAATAAAAAGCGGGAGCGAGGGGGCGCGTGGTCAGCTTTTTCGAAGTTCCTCTCCGAGAGACGTGCCCGCTTGCGCTGCGCTTTGTGCTACTCCGTTAGCTCGGTTTTTATTCCGTCGCAAAGATAGTGTAAGGAGAACTGTAAATAGTGTGGTTAGTGCATTTTATTAAACTGTATCGTCTTAATCGCTGTCTATTCAATCAAGGCCTTCTTCGAGCTCCCTCTCCTAACTCCGTCGCGTTAGCTTTCGCCTCCGCGCGAGCTCACGCCTACTCCGCGTTCGTACAAAGTACCTCGAGTTTCGAGTTTCACAACATTTAATTATAAAAGCTTTCGGTACAATCGTGTCGCTTGCTCGACGACCGTCTCTACAGAAAAAAAAACCAACTGAACTGCCGCAGAAAACGGAAACGAAGGGAAAGCGCCTCTAGCGCCGGTGGCGCGCGCACCGCCGTCCTGCATGTATAATAAAGCGCGTCGTTCAAAATAAAAATACAAATATACGATCAACAGAGAGCAACGCTTGTACATTGAACGCTAACACTATTTATAGAATATATTAGAATTTATTAATTTTTTGTTATATAATAATATACATTAACTATACAATATCTAACTATTACACTTACTAAAATATATTATTTGATATGTATCTCTGTTATTGTCGCATAGAATAGATGGCAATGAAATAAGACAAGGACGCATTTACGAGCTACAACGAAATAACAATAATTTTGTTTTGCTCCCTTCAAAGTATGATACATTCAGTATATTATGACATATACATATATATGAAGTATTTCATACCACTGAGAAACATTGTAAGGATGCTGTGAACAATCCACCAGCTGATAGGCCAAACTGCTTGTTTCCTCTTATCAATAGAAATAGTATAAATTTTTGTATACATAGAGGAGTTATATACCATTCAACTTCATATCTACATGTAAAGACAACAAAAATCAATAATTAAAATAAATACTTGTACATTATTTTCGCATGTGTATAGTTGCCATTAAGTTATATTTACATCTTCGTTATTAGAGTTTAAATAATTACGTATGTAAGAAAACTATAATATAATATTATGTAATGAACTGCAATAGTTCTTACGCAGTAACAAATAGTAGATCACAATGATCTGTAATTTTTTGTCCGCATAAATTGGCTAAGAACATATATAAGATAGACATACATATTATTCCAAAAACTAATGGAAGTTCCATAGTCTTATAATTAGATGATAAGAGCTGCAAAAACTAATATAGGAGTTTTATTATTAATATTAAATTTTAAATTACAGCTTAAATTAAATAATTTACAATTAACTATCAAATGAGGAATAAAAATTTTTAAGATCATCTTAAAATCGTAACAGTTTATCTAAACAAATGCCTTTCTATTAATCATTAAATTTGACAATTTTTTTATTGCTTTGCATTATTTATTGTAATAACAAATTCTTGAAAATATTTACTATCATTTATTTTTTTAAGTAAATATTAAAGCTGTTTTACAATTACTAAAAAATCTATGAAATTATTAATAAAAAACAGTATACATTAATAGTGAATTTACAAGCAAAACGAAACTTACTCGATAAATATTAAGGCTCAAAGTAATTACTCCCAATATTATTAGAAACAAAAATAACCTTTCAAATTTAGATATTAGATGTTCGGAGAACCTTTAAAAAAAATGGATTGTTAGTGTACATGTTATAAAAATATTATAAAATATAATTTAAATATAATTACTAACGTCATTGCTTTTCGATGAATATTCACACCATGAATAAGATCTCTGTAAACCAAATTTTTGTTTACCACACTAATATTTTGTATATACATCTCTATTGTGTTCTTGATTCGACAACTGTAAATTTAAGTATTATAATTATATAAGAATTTAGAAATATTTATTATGACAATGTTATAGTATGAGCAATAATTCTTAAGTTAAATGATCATAATTTTGAAACAAGTTATATATTAAACATTTACGCAGTTTTTTGGGTCAGTAAAATATTTGATATGTTATATGTAGATATAACATAACATATGTCTCAAAGCATTCACATGCTCTAAGCATACATATATGCACTTTTTATTTTATATAATAAAAAAATTAACAATTAGTATTAATAGAAGAAAGTTTGAAAAAAATATTTTTTTTTCTCGTCGAGTCTGGATCTGATTATATTTTGAAGACTTTTGTTTCTAAAAGAGCTAGTTATAATTACATGAATAATTTATTGTATATCACTGTACACATATATTATGCATATTAAAGTATCATTATTTTAATAAATCTCTTATATTTATGAAAATTTTATATATTTTTGAAAATAAACTTTTGGATATTTTCAGATATGAGAAACAAAATTTTTTTCTCAATTTTAATTTCTTGATTATTTTAATATTTATTATTTTTACCTAGCAATTTTAAACATTCCGTAGACATGTTGAAGATATGCTATAAGTATCGCTCCTGTTGCCATTATTACAGAAACTGATATATATAAAGCTGCAGTTACGTGAAGTAGCAATATATAAAAATATTTTTCTTGATCAATAAAGTACGCAGTTGAGATATCCAAGTAATGTGATTGAGACTCGTTTGTAAAGAAAATTAGGTTCTTAAAATATGGCAATTGACTGGTAGTAATCAATGCACAGCAAAAGGGAATCACTAAATAACATTATAAGAAATTAATCAAGCAAGTTTTTTTAACACTGTAAGATTTTTTATTGTAGAGTAACTCCGGTATATACGCCGCGCGAGGATTTAGAAGAATTCAAAAGTCAGAAAAAATAGAAAAAATGAAAGTAATTTTCTCGCAACCATTCTGTTACATGCCTTTATGTTATATTAATATTGTGTTGTAATTTCAGTTTTTTACTGTTAATATTAATAAAATTATTAAGTAATTAAATACTATTAAGTTAAATCGATTTATCACTGTAATAAGTAGCGCAACCATAAGTTATAATCTACGTAAAATGATTATTGTAGGAAATGTAAAAGACTTTGCGGTTATTTCGTGATACATAAGTGAAGAGGAATAGTAAAGAAGAATATAGCAAAATACAAGTGCTTAGCTATTGTATTCTTTGTTTAGTTTATTGTCTTGTACATCCCATGCCAAGTTTTTGCTTCACTGTGATCTCATTGGTCATTTAAGTTACTTTAAGCCTGTTTTATGAAACTTAAAAATATTTGGAAAGACTGGCATTAAACTTTTGCTGCATGTACTTTTGAATGATTAAACGGTTTTTAAAAAGAAATTTTTGTTTCTATATCTAATCAAATACTTGGTAACTTGTATGATCTTATATTTGTTTTTAGAGAATTTTTATTTGTTAAAATAATATTTTTGATTTAGAAAGGATGTAACGTACGATACTTTTTTATATACTTGGCGTAATCTTTTTCTTTTTTTAAAAAAGAGTTTTGGTATATAATAATTTCAGATTGGAAATAATCCGCAAAAGTAATATTAAAACCAATTATAATTCGTTCGGAATTAAAACCGACTTTTTAATTCGGGTGCGGATTGAACCGATTAAAACCGATTAAAATCGATTAAAACGGATTATGTCCGCTGTCACTCAGTTCTCTCGCAGACGGTGTAGTGAAAACAACGTTAGTGCGGACAGAGAACTCCCATTTAGTGAAAAATCTTTTTCATATTGTGACATTTAGATAGTGTTATATTGTGTGATTTATAGTGATTAGTGTGAAAAGCTATTGTATTTCATATCAATATAAAATGAAACACAGAACACTCTTCCGAAAGAGATTGTCATTGAAGAAGGGTTACAGAGAAAGGTACGTCCTCATTGTATCATATCTCCTTGAAATGTATTATATATATATATATATATATATATAGGTATATGAAAAGGCAGTTTTCGGGTCAATTTCGCACATGCAAAGGCAGTTTTCAGGACTTTTGGCAG